AATAATAGACTGGTATTTAATTCATGCCTTGTTTTTGCATATCTTTGACTAATACATTGAACTTGTTTTTTTGTGCCTTTATAATTTTTTTTTTTTGAGACAGGGTCTCACTCTGTCACCCAGGCTGGAGTGCAGTGGTATGATCTCGGCTCACTACAACCTCTACCTCCAGGGCTCAGGTGATCCTCCCACCTCAGCCTTCCAAGTAGCTGGAACTACAAGAATGTACCCCCATGCCCAGCTTAGTAGAGACGGGGTTATGCCATGTTGCCCACGCTGGTCTCGAACTCCTGGGCTCAAGTGATCTACCTGCCTTGGTCTCACAAAGTGTGGGCATTACAGGATGGAGCTGCCATGCCAGGCCTATTTTTTTTCCATTATGTGTTGCCCATGTCTTTTGTCTATTTGTTCTATTTTGAAGGTGGCACCTAATGGCTTTCTTCTCTTTATATAATATGGTTATTAATAATGTTTTCCTATTGTGTGTGTGTGTGTGTGTGTGTGTGTGTGTGAAATTAACCCCTCATCATGATTAATAATCAACCAAGAACAAAATGTTTATAAAAATAATGACATGTTGAGATAACAGTGTAGAATGGATTTTAAACTTCTTAAGGCATTAGGGTGCAAATGATTTACTAAACAACATAGACGAGTCTTCCTGAGTAGAGGCATCCCATTTCAACTCTGTGTATTAATATTCATTGGACCCGGCCTTTCAAACAAATGTAATATTCAGGGAACTACTGAATTGAGACCTTAATAAACCAGTTTCACTTTTTTCAGTAAATCTGTGCAAGGCATTATTTTACATTTTCTCCACCATTAAAATACAGAAACTGAGAGAAGCACTCAGTATCCTACCCATTACCTTATTTTTCTTCATGGTGCATCTCATGTTTTGTACTTCACTGTCTTTGGTTTTTTTTTTTTCTTTATTATTTCCCATTTTCTTAAGTTGATCCATTAGAAAAACAACTCCTGCCCATGGGACTAATTTTTTTCCTCCCAGAAGCATGCTGTTATTTAATAGGTGAACGGAGAGTGTCTTGATGGTGTCCATGGCCCTTGAAGCTGCAGTTTAAGGGAGGGGGTTCAAAGAAATGGTGGAGAAAGGTCGTTCCTGTCCTGGAAGGAGGCCAGACAGGGTGACCTTTGAAACTGTCACTAGGGGCATGAAAAATGGGTTTGCAACAGTTCCCTACCCTCCTCTGCACAAATGACACACAGCATTTGGTATTAAGGCAAAGATCCTTTTCCACTGGTGATATGTAATTGTAAATCATAAGAAATTTCTCTGATTTGGGACTCAGGAAGGCATCCTTCTACCTGTTGCAGCTGTTGGAAGTCAAATTCTCCTTTCACCCCAACCACATCTTCCCAAGGCTTTTGGCAGCTCCCGCTGCCTTTCACATTCTCCTCTCCACCTTTGGACTATCCCATACCCTTATCTATCCACACATTCACTCCCTACACTCCTTCCCTGCTTAATCAGGACAGCTCCTCTGACCACCTTGACTTCCCACGATGTCCGCGTGCTCTAGATGAAATGCGCTAAGCCCTGCCGGGTCCCTGTCCCTGTGATCTGAGTCAGGCCCCACTGTCCTCTGTCTTCACATCCTCTGTATACACATCCTCTGTCTTTCTCGGACCCATATTTATAGTCAGTCTCTCTGTTCCCACCCTGCGTGGCACTTGACCTGATGCTGGGAAGGTAATCATTATCCCTCCCTTAATGTTCCAGGATTATTCATTCCATTTTGCCGTGTCGGATGTAATATTTAATAGCATCTATGAAGAAGCCTAAAGACTATGAATAAATGCTCCCGTTGGTACTGAAAGGGTTTTATACAATATGAAATTTAGAGTACATGTTTTCCTGACGTTAATATTAATCGTGAGCCCCAAAGTGGAAGCTTTTATACTTTAGCATAATGAAGTTTACCATGTGTTTCAAAGTTGCTTGCAATTGTGCTTCTCATAATGACAATTAGAAAGGTCATCTTGTCTTGCCAGTCTCCATTAGATATATAAACCAGCTAGTAGCTGTCACCGTGAAATGTGTTAAGGCACTTGTAGGCAAATACAAGGGGAAACATGATATTTTTTTATCCCAAAGTGCAGCTGTTTATAACTAATTATCAAACATGGGACAAGCCTATTGTTTGCCTTTACATGATATATGGGCATAGAAATTTCTAAAGCAAATTCTCTCATTGATTAAATTATATGAAGTCGGCCAGGCATGGTGGCTCACACCTGTAATCCCAGCACTTTGGGAGACTGAGGTAGGTGGATAACAAGGTCAGGAGATCAAGACCATCCTGGCCAACATGGTGAAACCCCGTATCTACTGAAAATACAAAAATTAGCTCGGCATGGTAGCACACACCTATAATCCCAGCTACTCAGGAGGCTGAGGCAGGAGAATTGTTTGAACCTGGGAGGTGGAGGTTGAAGTGAGCTGAGATGGTGCCACTGCACTCCAGCATGGGCGACAGAGTGAGACTCCCATCTCAGAAAAAAAAATTATGTGAAGTCACCCTCTTCCATGAAGCATTATATGATGAGGTTCTCAAAGCACCGAATAAAGAAATTTGTCATTAAGACACTAGTGTATTTCTGATCTATATTTTTTTCTGCCCCTCTCAAAATATTTATTATCTCCATTAAAGTATGGAAACAGTTATTCTATTTAACTCTCTACATGTGAAACTTGATGAACTGATGGAGCAAGGGTGAAATGAAAGGGAGAAGGTGAGGAGGTGGCATAAGTAATGTGTTCTTATGGAACTTGTAGAGGGATAAACCTGTATTAGAACCAAAGCAGATAATTCTTGGGGAACTGAACCATGTCAGTGCAGGTGTGGGTCCTGGGAACTGATGCTGGAGAAAAACAGTTCTAATCTGGCCTGCAAATGGCAAATGGGGTTGCCACGATTGAGATATTAATATACTTCTTTGTATGCATGTCCTTTCATTTATGGCTTTTGTTCTCTAAGCTGCTTTGCTCTGAATTATGAGAAGCAGGCTAAACTTCACAATTCAAGCCTTTAGAATTTGCAAACATTTATCAATAGGTAAGCAAGATAGGTAAAAAGTCCTGGATTCATTAATGCACACCCATGCATGGTCTCTATAGTTTTGAAATTTCTTAGTTGGGAGAATATGGGAGAAGAACCCTGTGGCCCATGAAGCATTTGACTGTTGACATTTCATACTATTCAAATGCTTTGATTTAAAAAATTAATCTATGAATTTAACATATATTCATGGGATGCAGACACTGCAGAGAGCTACCTTTTCCTGGCCTTTATGTTTGAGCTGTTTTCTGGTCGCTGAATCACCCATCTATCTGGAATGGCTTGTGTTCAGGTTTTCCAGAGGCAAAGGATGACTCCATATTATTCAAGGAACTTTCTAGGCAAATAAATTTATTATTTTTTAATATTAAAAATGATCCTCTTTATTGAAACTGATAGAAAGACGGGAATAAATAATTTTAACAGCCCTGTGACACATAAATGGAGGAAAAAACCCTCTCCATGCTTATGTAAATAGGAAGGAAAAGAACTGTAGCATGAATATAGAAAAGGACTCCTTTCCTCCTTCTTCTACCCTCTTCTCTTTTGCCCTTTGCCTGAAGCTGTTAACATTGGGTGAGTGTCCCTGTTGTCATCTCGCATCATACCTCACGTTCTGTTTGATGTTGATGGGCATGGATATCTGAGAGTCTATGTGAAGAGTTATATGTAAGTTTATGTAAGGCCCTTTCTTTGCTTCTACGTTGTTGCTCATTGTACGTACGCATTTTGTAGTACTGTGAGCTTATGTTTAAAACACCCGTGCTGCAGTGGACCCTCGTGTCACCGCCTGGCCTCTTATTCAGAAGCCTTAGCTGTCCCTCAACTCCGACAACACATGTTGAGCGCCTCTCAGGTGCCAGCCACTGTAATAGGCACTGGGGAGTGGAAGGGTGACAAGTTGTGATTCCTGACATCTGGAGGTTTGCAGTCACTGGTGGAGGAGGCACACGTACACAGCAAATAAGGCATGATGTGTTGAAAGATGAAATGAAGCAATAAACAATGGGCATCAAGACAGCAGAGATACGGACAACCAAGGATGCCTTTGAGGAGCCAGAGAAAGCTTCACAGAGGAGGCAGAGCATGCGCCGTGGCTTGAGGGTAGAAGGGGTAGAAATACTGTTGTATTAGGGAAGAGGTGAGCACCGACTCAGAGGTCAGGGGAACGTGACACGTCTGGGGAACAGGGATCCAGTCCCAGCCCTGCCATTTAACAGCTGTGTAACTTTGGGAAAGTTTACTGATCTCTCTGGGTATGTTTCCTCCCATGTAAAATAGAAATACTACTACTACTAATATTGATCTCTTAGGACCATGAGTAGATGAAGTAATAATACATGTAACAATCTTGGCTTAGTGCCCTGGCATATCATAAAGACTCAGTAAATATTAGTTTGCGTGATTATTGATCTGGCTGGACTGAAGGGTGCAAGGGTGGGAGTGATAGGAGATGAGGCTGGAGAAGTGGACAGAACCGAACCATGAGTGTCTTTTCACCAGGCTGCAGTTTTCAAGATTTTCCAAAGGTCACGGCTAGCCATTAAAATAAATTGATTTTTGTACCCTTCACTTCTCCTGAACATTCTTGTATTACAGTTGTGTTAGTCTGCTTGTATTTCTATAAAGGAATACCTGAGACAGGGTGATTTATAAAGAAAAAAGGTTTATTTGGCTTATGGATCTGCAGGCTGTACATGAAATATAGTGCTGGCATCTGCTTCTGGCAAGGCCTCCGGAAGCTTACCATCATGGCAGAAAGGGCAGGGCAGCCCGTGTATCACATGGCGAGAGAGGGAGCAACAGGAGAGGTGGAGGTGCCAGGCTCTTTTTAAACAACCAGACCTTGCGTGAACTCATAACCACAGAAAAGGCACTAAGCCATGCATGGAAGATCCGCCCCCATGACACAAACACCGCCCACCAGGCACCACCTCCACCATTGGGGAGCACATTTCAACATGAGATTTGGAGGAGGCAAACATCTAAACTGTATCAAAAGTAGATAATTAAACACAGTCTCATATAAATGTTCTATCTTCCAAAAAAGAAAAAAACCCAAGCATCGCATACCTACTATAGCTAAGATAAAGAATACTGACAACACCAAGTGCTGCCAAGAAGGTGGAGCAGGCCCGTTTCTCATACATCTCTGTTGGGACGTACCAGTATCGCTGGTGGGGATGTGACAGTAGAGCCCTCTGGAAGACAGTGGCAGTGGCTTTTGAAGTTAAATGTTATCCTTGCCATGTGACCTGGCAGTTCCACTCCTAGATACTTATTTATCCTATAGAAATAAGAAGTTATATCTCACAAAACTGTAATGAATATTTATAGCAGCTTTATTCATAATTTCCTAAAACTGAAAATAATTTGAATGTCCTTCCTTCCCTGAGTGGATAGAATAACTAACTATAGTACATTCACATAATGGAACACGACTCAGTAATAAGGAGCAAACTATTAATATAAACAACAATGTGACTGCATCTCAAATGCATTGTACTGAGTGAAATAAACCAGTCTCAAAAGGCTACAGCTGTAGCGTCCTATTCATATGATGCCCTGGAAGAGAGACCTCTAGGGGCAGGGTTTAGGAGTTGGGAGTGGGGCTGGGGAAGGGCCTGATTAGAAATAAAGAGACCAAGGGAATTCTTAAGGGGCCTTAGAATTGTTCTGTATCCTGTTTGTGGTGATGGTTACAAGAATCCATGTGGATATGAAAGCCCATAGAACTGCACAACAAGTGAATTTTACTGTGTGAAAAATTTAAAATTTTTTTTTAAAACTTGAGAATGTATAGCTTGTTTACTGCATGCATGACCTGTTTTATCTCAGTAATCCTCTCTATGAGGTTGATGTTATTGTTATAGGTTGAGCATTCCTAATCTGAAAACCCGAAATCTGGAATGCTCCAAAATCATCTGAAACTAATGTTGAGGGCTGACCTGATGCTCAAAGGAAATGCTTGTTGGAGCATTTCGGATTTTGGATGTTCAGATTAGAGGTTCTCTGCAGGTAAGTATAACGCAGATATTCCAGAATTTGAAAAGCACAACACTTCTCGTCCTAAGCATCTCAGATAAGGGATATTCAACTTGTATCACATTTAGTGCATTATTATCTACTACTAGTATTATTATTATTGACTAAGCAGAGGCTTTGTGAGGTTTGGCCCAAACCCACATACCTTCCAGGGGGCAAAGCCTGGCACAAGCCAGGTGTGTGTACTCTCCAGACCCTGATTTCCATAGCATTGCGAGTGACCCCTCAAGGAGTCACAGAGTGGGTGGCAGACCTTTCTCAGGCTCTCGTCCAGGCTGTACCTCAGTTATCCAGCTCTGTGGTCAGTGTCCTTGCTCTGTGCATCACGCTGGTGCAAATTTTACACATGTGCAAATGTTTTAAATGCTTAGTATCAGAGAGGGAGTTGCCTGCTGAATGTTTTCTAACCTCTTAACTTGTGCTGTTGACTAAGTTAAATTTGGCTTCTTTTCAAGGAACTGCTACCTCCCTGGAGGGTTTTTATGGTGACATCAGTGAGAACCTTACTCAGTTTTTGTTCAATTCAGAGCTTTAACTCAGTATCCTTAAAATCACTCAGGTTGTAATGAAAGTCTGCTCTGTGGCGGAGTAGAACTGTTAATTATTAATAACTGTTAATTACCTACATAGTCAACCTGAGACCAGAGGGCAAGAGATAATTCCTTAGAGAAAGAAAAAAGAGCAAAATGATACAAGGTTGGAAAACAGTAAAAAGGGTGAAGATATTTAATTCTTTTTGCACACTTTGTAATGATTTGTTTAAATATCTATTTCCCTATCCTCTGTGCCAGTTTTTCTTGTTGAGTTTTTTTTTTTTTTTTTTTTTGTTATGTTTTTCTTTTGAGAGAGAGTTCTGTGTTGTTGCCTAGGCTGGAGTCCAGTCATGACTCAGGATGTCGGCCTGGTGAGGCAAAGATGGCAGCAGAGCTTGGGGTGGGGAGGAGGTGGAGATGGCGATCAAGGTCCCCAGAGAAGGGGGATGTCCTGGATGAGAGCAATGAGAAGGATAGCCGGGGGTGAAGCTGAATGCCCCGACCCTCCAAGCAGCAGCAGATTATACCTGCAGGTAGAGCCACATTAGGGACCTGGAGGACACTGGCGGCTTGGGTAGGGGTGGAGAGTGAGTGTCCACACTCGAGCGGTCTGCAAGTGCCATGAGACCCTCCAGCGACGACTATGTCACTGTTAGAGCAGAGAGGAGGAGGCAGCTTTCAGGAGGAACTGGGCGTGCAGAGCTTGGTAACCAGGGATGGAGATCCAGGCAGTGCAGTGAAGCCCACAGAGGAGCCCACGGAGGAGCCCACGGAGAAGCCCATGGAGGAGCCCACAGTGGAGCCCACAGGACGGGACAGCTGTGAAGACACTGTCCACCCTGGAATGCAGGCAGCGTCTTCACAGCCATCCAGGGATTTGGACCCTAGCCTTCCTAAGTGAGAGCTGTACTTTTTCCATAATCTCTGCCACTACATAACTGTGAAAATTCAAAGTGCAAAAAGAGCCTCTATCCTGGCTTTTCATCGACGTTTTCAAAAGGAACAGAAAATGGTCGCATTCTCTTGCTTCTACAATGCCAGTGATTGTTTGAAGCATCCCGGACTTGACAACAGCTCCAAGGTGGGTAGACACTCACACTGCAGGTTCATGTCAATTCCAAATCGCATATTTTTAAATGCTGAAAAATGAAAAAGACAATGCATCTTAGAATTTAAGGCCACAGAATAAATAAAATGGGCGAGTAGTTTAACTGAAACCTGAAGAAACAGCATGCGATTTTTTGTTTTATGTTTCTTAGCTGAAAGTAACTCAGGCAGGATAATGTAATGAGGAAATGCAGGCATTTGCCTGAGATTAGTTCAGGAACTGTTGGAAAAGGACTCTGGGATCACGCAGAACTGGAGCTCAGATTGCTAACTCGACGGACTTTTAAGTCCAATTTAAGATTTGGAGAGAGTTACAAAGGTTAAGTCAGCATTTATATGAACATGCTCCAATTAGAGAAATACAGGAGAATTTGCTGTTTCATCTGTGCCATTATGAAGATCATTGTTCTTAAATTTACATTAGTTTGCTAGGCCTGCTGTCACAGAAATCCACAGACTGAGTGGCTTGCACAACAGATGCCTATTTTCTCCCAATTCTGAAGGCTGGAAGCTCGAGATCAAGGTGTCAGCATGAATGATCTCTCCTTAAGCCTCTCTGCTTGGCTTGTGGACAGCTGTCTTCTCCCCATGTCCTCCCTCACATGGCCTTCCCTTTGTGTGTGTCCGTGTCCTCGTCTCCTCTTCTCATAGGGACACCGATCAGACTGGTTTAGGGCTCACCCTCATGACCTTGCTTCAATTTTCTCACCTCTCCATAGACCTGTCTCCAAGTGCAGTCCCATCCTGAAGTACCAGGGATTAGGGATTCAACATATAACTTTTGGGGGAGGATACAGTTCAGTTCATAGCAGCCAATTCCATACCTCATTTTATAAGAAGAGAATTTAAAATCAGATCCTTGCCTAATACTCTTCTGGTCACACACAGAAAATAATTCAGAAAGTTGCCTTGGCTACTCAGCCTCATGTGGCTGGATCCTCCGTTGCTCTGTGGCCTCGCTTGACCCTTCTCCCTCCTCTCTCCTTCACATGCTGGAAACTTCCTTACACGGCTAGAAGCACTGCCCTTGTTCACACCTTCAGCCTCATCCTAAGATGGCTTCTCTTCAGTTTTACATGGCTCTATCCTTTTGCCATTTCGGCCTGAAGTTAAATCCCGTTCCTCCAAGAAGCTTCCCTGACCATCCAAGGGAAAGCAGCCATCCAGCAATGCCAGATCCCATGACCCTGTCCCAGTGCTCAGCGTGGTACTTATTGCTGGCTGACAGGGCCTCATTTATCTTGTCACCAATGTTCCCAGCACTGAAGCAATTCCGCAGCAGATAGTGTCACTCAAATATTCGCCAAGTGAATAAATAAAATCAGAAGAGTTAGAAAGAAATGAAGCGAGCTGGGAAGAATCTGGATGTTCTTGAAGTCCAAGACTTTGTTTTTTTAGGTGGGATTCATCAAAAGGAGGCAGTTTGCTTGAGGTCCCACCTCTGGACAAAGAGAGAAGCAGGGCTGGTCTGACTCCAGTCCTGTCTGTGGCCTTCATTGTTTTAACAAGCAGATGGTATTTTTGTACGCAGTGACTTGGCGATGTGTATCAATGCTGCCTTTCTTTCCTGTCCCTTGCACGGCAGGCCCTGTGTCTTAGATTAAGTTTGGGGCAACGCTAAACTGTGCCACTGGACTATATCCCACGGAGCAGGGATTATACTGTATTCCTACCCTGCAGTGTTTGCACATAGAAGCCTTACTATAAATGTTTGCTTAGTGAAAACAGCGAACAAATGAGTGAATATTAAAATGACAAGAATTGACAGTCTTTTGAAGTTTCTGTAGAGTGGTGCTTCTCAAACTTCAGCGTGCATCTGAACCATCTGGAAAGCTAGTTAAAATGCCAGTTATGACTCAGGAAGTCCTAGGTAGCCTGAGAATCTGCATTTCTAATGAATTTCCAGGTGATGCTATTGCTGCTGTCCTTGCCTCTCCTTTGTGTAGCAAGGCTCTAGGATGTGTGCAGGAAGGTCTGTCTTACAGGGTCAAAGATAATCTTGTGAGTTAACTAGTCATCAAAAGACCCCGATCACATCTGTTTGTCCAAAAAAATAACACATGCAACTTTCAGCCAGTACTTAACCTCACTGATCAGCTTTTGTACATAGGTGACTTGGAGATGTGCATCAATGCCCCCTTCTTTCCTGTCCTATATTATGCCTGATGTCTTGGGTCAAGTTTTGGGCAGTATCAGACTATGCCATTAGATCATATCCTGTGATGCAGGGATTATCTTATATTCATATTCTGCAGTGCCTGCCACACAAAGGCCTTACTGTAAATGTTTGCAGAATGAAACAATGAATAATGAGTGAATATTTAAAAGACAAGAACTGACAGTCTTTTGAAGTTCACTTTTGAGGAACCTGTCCAGATATCAGGAGATATGCTTTGCTGAGCTTGTAGTACCTGCTGAGCTTCTTGATATATGTTATGTCTACTTACCACAGCAATCCTGCAGGGTGGAATTATTATCCTCATTTGGTACACGAGGAAACTAATGCTCAGAGAGGTTAGACAACATGCCCAAGGTCCCCAAGTCAATAGCCAGGAGCCACTAGCAGGGCTCTGATGATGATCATGATGATGTGTGTGTGTGTGGTGTGCTGTGTACGTGTGTGTTTGCATGTGTATATGTGTGTGTGCGTGTGTGCTTCTCTCATACCATTTTGCTTGTTAAATGATCCTTTAGGTTCTTTCCAGGTGTATGATTTTAGGTCAAAGACAAAGCATGACGCAGCTCACTGTGAGCTGTGACTTATACAAGCTCATGAAGGAGTCAGCTACGTTTTCTGATCTTCAAGATAATCTTTGTCTTCTCACCACCATACACACTGATTTCTCTTCAGGAACTGATTGTATACTCTCATGAGCACATATGCAGTTTCTCCTATAGACTGTAAGATTTTTAAGAGCAAGGACTGGGCCTTATTTTCCATTTTGTTCCCTACCATGTTCGATCCTTATTTGAGTCAGTGCTTTGATTTGAACAGAACTTCGGAAGCACAAGACAGGCTCTGTTCATTACCAGCCTGGGCAACAAGAGCGAAACTCTGTCTCAAAAAAAAAAAAAGCTTCCAAAGCACTCACCATGGAGTCCAAAGTGTCACCAAATCTCTGCTTGCGTGAGGTTTCTCTATCTTGATTTGTGTGTGTGTGTGTATGTTGTGTGTGTTATGTGTGTGTGTGTGTGTGTTGTGTGTGTGTATGTTGTGTGTGTGTTATGTGTGTGTATGTTGTGTGTGTGGTGTGTGTGTTATGTGTGTGTGTGGTGTGTGTGTTATGTGTGTGTGTGGTGTGTGTGTATGTTGTGTGTGTGTGTCATGTGTATGTATGTTGTGTGTGTGTGTGTGTGTGTGTGTAAGAGTAATTGGCTGTGGGTGGGCCGGGTCCCACCCGGAGAGAACTCTGGTAGTGTGCCAAGAGCAGGACTGCATGATTGGTGCATGTGACAGGGTGCAGAGGAGGGGAGGGGTCCCTGCATGATTGGGGGGCCTTCCTCTCAGCTGTCCCTATTGTGTTTCCATTGGCATTCCTGTTATAGCTAAATCAGGGAGCAGAGGGTGGCATGAGGTAGGATCCTATGACATAATGACAGGCTTTAGGGAGTTACCGATGATGTCAGAGTTTACCATCAAGTAAATCTGTTGCCTTTTGAAAGCCATGTCTGTCAGTACAATGCTGGGGGCCAGAGCTGTTTAACCTAGTAAACCATAAATTTCTCTCATACGTCCTTGGGGTGATGAAAATCTTCCAGAGTTGTGGGGAGCAGAGAGAGAACCTGACAGGGAATATTCTGAAATAATTGTAGATAGTGACAGGTGAAAAAAAATACACTGTAGAGATATCAATCCTGTATGAATGCAATGTAAATTGCTCTTTTAAGAAATGCTTTTGGAGTTCTCCATACAAAGAAGGAGGAGAAGGAGGAGGAGAAGGGGGAGGGGGAGGGGGAAGGGGGGGGAAGAAAAGTAGAAAAAAGAGATTTGTCTTGTATGAAACAGCAAAATAATATTCTATCAGAATTGTTTTAAATATGGTGAAGTAGGGGCACTTCTATTTAAAGGGTATGTCTTTGGTTTATTTTTTATTTGTACTTGTTCTGATACCTCTTCCTTTTGGAAAAGTCCGAGGCTCTGGCTCTCTGCTATCTGTTTGGCCATCATCAGTAGAAGTGGGAACACAAATAGCTCATTGTTTTAATTTTGGATTTCCTTAGGCTGTCACTGTCACCTAGTCGTCTCAGACACTCTTACAGGGAAACCAGCACTGGCAGGGTGTGAAGGTCATAGCAAGGGCAGCAGTGCTTCCCAGGATCACATGCCTGGAGAGGTCGGCATGCCCCTGACTTCTTAAGGGGACCTGCCTTCCACAGGACGAGCGCTTACTGAGTGCTTCTTCTGCACCTACTGTGCATTCTCATCCATACCTTAGTTGTTGTTAGCACAAATATCCTTACACATCTGTGGCATGTGGATGACAAGAGCTTCTGAGTGTATTTTTGAGCTGTATTTTCCTAAGGCAACTTCAAGTGCTTAAGAATCCAGTGGTATATGGGTGGCTGTTGATTCACAGCACTGTTCTGAGAGAGTAATTTGCTGCTTTTCTCCAACTCTTATGTCCTTGAGAAACCTGAATGTACAGATGACTACCCGTACCTACGAAGCTTCCTCTCACAGGACTGAAAAGATAAATATGCTGCAAAACCTGCTATAAAACAGTCAGCCCTGAGCAGCAGGAAACTGAGTAGAATTGCTCGCATGGCCAAGCCCAGGCTCAGGAAGGTGTTTGCCCCTGTCTGAAGGGGGTGGAAATGAGACCATTTACACCTCAAGTGGAAGTGCAGACCTGAAGGAAGAGCAGGGGCTCCCCCAGCACAGGTGTGCCCATTTTACAGGTGCTAAAGCCTGTGGCGGAGACAGAGATGGGGGGAGGCGTTGGCTGTGATGCGTCGTAATAGAGCAGCTCACGTGCAAGGGCCATGAGAAGTGAGGACAGAAGGGCAGCCAGGCTGTGGCTGGTTTTCACGTGAGTCAGCTGAGTGGGAATGCAGCGTGGCCGGTAGAAGAATGAGTATTTGAGGAGGCAGAGTTCCCCACTCTTCTGAAGCTCTGTTTTGCAAAAGGCCTAGAATATAAAATTGGAGCATTGTGTTTGGAATGGGGGGAGGGAAGTGTTAACCTGAACAGCTTTGGTGCACACGGTGAGAGGTTTACCAAGGGCTCACTCAC